TCCAGCTCAGCAGTTGACAATGACTAAACATCAAGGTTACTCTTGCATGTCCATCTCAAAGTGAAGGATGTTCCTCTGCCAGGAAGGGCCCAGGCCGCTGACGTCAGCCATCCCTAGGTCGGAGTTAAGGAGAGCCACTCGGTCGATGAATCAGGATGTGCGACTCCACCGTGAGAGCTCGCTGAGCGGAGCGCCATGGTGGCCTGTCTGTGAAAGACGTCTTCACTGAACCAGGTGAGATTTTAAACAGAATGAGACATCACCTTGGCCTGTTTTCTTGTGAGTGCCAAGTAGGTGTCCGGTAGCCTCGCACTGTGCCTGTCCTGACGGAGCTCGGCCCCGGGAGGGAGGGAGGACCAGCGGGTTCAGGCGGGCTGAAACGAGGCAGTGTCCCTGGGAAGCCCAGGCTAGGGTAAACGTCTGAAGCTCCATCCTGGGTGGGGGTCGAGGCTGCTTCTGTGTCAGACTCAGCTCAGGTCAGCAGGCTGGTGACAGGCCCTGCAGCAGGCGAGCTGTGCACAGGCCGACTTCAGAGAGTGGCGTTCCTCCCCGCTGGTGTTCGAGGCTAAGTTTTGACTGGTTTTTACGGTTTCCTCAGGGTTCCTCAGACCAGGCCCGGGAGATTCCACGGGGAACAGCTAGGCACTAGGGTGAATTCTTGAACGATCAGGTGGTCACCTGCCATCGACAGCTGGAGTTTACAGTAATAGAGCCCCGCGGCTCCTGCACTGCGATGTGAAGGGCATGGCTACAGCTCTGATGGGCGGTGGCCCCACATTGTCCTTGCATTCAGCCCGTCACCAGGAGCCATCAGCAGTGTTCGCTCAAACCTCACAGAGTTGGGGAGGGACTTTTTCTACAAAGAGGAAGGCACAAAGAGGTGGACGACTACAGCTTGGTGGCCTTGATGGGGGCTCGGAGAGTGTTGTCTGCCGCCTGCCAGGCTGAGGTGCTTGGGTCCTTGTTAGGCTGCTGGTTCTTGGAAGTGAGACCCTAACGAAGGGAGGAGCCCTTTCTAACCATGTGATCAAGCACGTGGGTCACATCGGGGTTCAGCTCTTGAGTTTTTGGGTTTGGGGAGATAACTGTGGAATAAAACTCTTGAGATGTTTTGAGCTGTGTTTGAGGACTTCAGTCCAGGCCTTTGAAGGAACTATCTCCTTTCCTGCCCTTGGATTTTGACTTCCTGGACAGGGAAGGCACTCATCTCATGGGCAGTCTTTGCACTGGCCGCCTGTTTGAGCAGAAAGGTGCTTGCAGCCTTCACTGGGGCTCAGGAAACTGCTCAGGAGAGGAGGCAGGCCTCTGGATTCTTGGACAAACCCTGGGCAGCTGGGCTAGGGGCGCTTCCAAAACAAACCGCCTTTTTAGGAAGCAACGCTGTGGCCTCTGAGTGGAGCCAGGAAGAGAAAGCGCTGAAAGGGGTGTTGAAGCGAAAGCCCCTTTGTCTCTCAGGACACCAGAGGCGGGCCTCCCGGGGCTGGGCCTTCCGTCTGGCTCCTGGAGCCCCAGGGGTCTCAGGGGTTCAGGTCCCAACGCAGAGCAGCGGCCTGAGCCCCTCCTGGGACAGGCTCGCGGGGCGGGCAGCTTCTCCGCCGGCATCCTGAGGCCTCGGGGTCCCCGTCCGCCCTTGGCACCAAGCCCAGGCCAGCCCTGAGAGGCCACAGCCGCACCGAGGGCGCCGAGGGGTCTTTCAGGTGCCCGGGTTCTGTGTGAATCGTACTCTTGACAGGTCACAGAGCAGACTGCTCGTGAGGGTGGCTTGAGTGGCTTTTACCCCTGCTGTGTGACGTCTGAGGGACTGCGATTCTGTGGGAACAGTGAGTGCTCCGTAGTCAGAGAGCGTGTCCTCTGGAGGGGCAGGGGTGGTGACATCCAGGACAGTCAGCTGACCTGCAGGGTGACTGCACCAGAGGGACAGCCGGTCCCTTTGTCTCCACAGTCGAGCAGAGAGTCTGCCGCACGGGAGATGCTCAGTGTGTTAAATGTAAACAGGCGACGGTGTATCCGACGTGGTGCTGCTGGGAGGGGAGAAGGCCGGCCCGAGAGGTGCTGAGCACCAGCCAGGGCCCCATGCCGCGTGCCTCACGACTCCAGGCATCTCAGGCGGGGGCCCGGGGCCTCGAAGGCAGGCTGGCTGGGTGGGGAGGGCCTGGGTCTCAGGAGTCGCCCAGGGAAAGGCGGGGGCTCTGCTGCGATTTGTTCTCGGGTCGCACCTGGCCAGAGAGATGCTGCCCTGGGAGACCCTCAGTTCAGAGACCCCGGAGGCGGACAGGCCAGGCCTCCCCTGGGCCAGACAGGCCGCACCGAATAAGACCACCCCCCCCCAAACATCCTGACTGCACATGGGCCTAAACGAGACGGGGAGAGGGAGAGACGGGGGAGAGGGAGCTCTCCAGCCAGGGCTGTGATGAGCAGGGTCCCTGGAGCTTGAGTTCCCTCGGGTGGTCTTGGGGGCTCCTGAAGTCAGAGCCTGTGAGGCGGGGTGGCACTGACGCCTTCCCCGCGGGTGGGAGGGGAGTCAGCGGGTTAATTCAGGACGGCCCTGCACACCACGGCGCTGCGCTCTGCACACCGGCTGCTGGGGGTGTGCGTGTCAGGAGTCCCAGCAACACCGTGTCCTCTGCACTTGGCTGTCTCCGCTTCCTTCAGTTCCTGTCCCTGGGGAGACACTGCCCTCTCATTGCACAAGAGATCTGCTCCAGGTCACTCAGCATCTGGGAGGCAGGGAGGCGCAGCCCCTGGTCCTTGGTCGAGGGCTGCGTTCCCTCAGGGGCCATGAACAAAGCCGGGAGGCAAGTGGCAGGTTTGGAAGGAGTGTGGGACACCTGGGTCGCAGACAGAAGGCTGAAGGATTAGTATTTGCCAGTGTTGAGAACTTCCGCAAAGTGGTACAAGAAGCGACACGTGGACAATGGTGGACCCAGGGTACTGAAGGGACGGTTCCCAGAGCCAGTGCAGGTGGCCAGGAGACGCTCGCAGGTGCTCAGAATCAGGAAGTTGATCGAGTGTCAGTCACGGCGTCAGGACAGCGCCTGACTCACTGGAGGGCAAAGCTTTAAGAAAGAAAGACTGCCCGTGGGGAGGGGGTCACCGTGGGATGTCTCTGTCTTTCTGGAAACGATGCGGCGTGGATGACGACTGGGGACTGGGCAGAACAAGAGGACGCTGGTGGGCGTGTGGTGGGCAGGCCGGGGGAGCCCCAGTCTGGAGGCAGCTGTGGAGGTGAGTGCCTTCAGTGTAGGAGAAGGAGCATGGGTTGGGGGAGGGATGCGGCCCAGGGTGTGCAGGGCCTGGAGGTGGGAGGAGGGTGGGTGGGCAGCAGGGTGGGCGAGGGGTCCCCAGCAGCAGTGAGGGGGTGCTGGGGTGGAGGGCTGTGCTCAGGCTTTCCTTCCAGTCTCCTGGGTCTGCCCGAAGCTCAGGTCTTGTTCAGTTTTCTTTGGTTCCCCGTTTGCAGCTGAAGCAGAGAGGGAAGGCCTGGCCTTCAAGGTCAAGGGCCATTAGCTCTAAAAGAGACACTGATTTCCTGGCTGAAGCCCTGAGCTGGGAGAGCCTGTCAGCGGAGGGCCTGGCCGAGCCCTGCGACAGGGCAGGCGTCTGCCTGGAGGGAGGCCTGCTGGGCCGTCAGAGGGGGCGTCTGTCTGCAGCTGGAGCCTGCCTGCCGGGCCGGTTTCCTGCTCAGCTGAGGGTTGGCCTCATCGTGACAGTTAGAGAGGACTCTGTGCCATCCGAGGGTCACTGGGGTCGGTGGGCTGAGTCTTCCTGGGGAGGGGCCTGTGTGGGACCCAGGGTTACCGCTCCAGCTGACAGTCCCTGGACTGTGTTGTTGGTTTGGTCTTTTTTTTTTCTTTGACTCTTTGAATTTTAAAATTAATTTTGCTGAGACTTAATTTATCCTGTCACTTGGAAGGCCCACTTCTGTCCCCAGCTGTGCCCAGTGCAGTTAAATAAATGTTGAAAGAACCTGTTGGAACCCTTGCTGAGGCGGGAAAACCACGAAACCTGCTATGAAAAGAACATTTGGAGCAGTTGGCTGTATTTTTCTTTACTTAGCATCCTGCTGATCATCATCATAATCCCAAAAGATGCCTTTCATTGAAAGACAGCTTTGAGCCCAGCATTTATATCCCGCCGAGCCCTCAGAATGTTCCAGAGCGGTGAGTAGCATGCTTGGTTTGCAGATGAGTAAGCTGAGGGTCACAGGGGTGACAGGACCTGCCCAGACTGACCCTCCAAGGGTGGGTGGGGCAGTCTTTGTCCTGGAGTCCTTGCTGAGGACACGGGCCCAGTTCACGGTTCTACCCTCTAAGATGTGTGACCCACAGGAATTTTGATTTGATGAAATAAAATTTGTATTTTAAGGTAGGACAAGAAAAAAATAACCATAACATCTGTCTGTCTGAGCCTCCTCCCCTCCCCCTAGTGTTCACGTGCTTCTGCATCACGTTAGCGAGAACTCCAGGCTGGGAAGGCCTGCTCCACCATGAACAGCATTTTTTTTTCTTTCCTGTGATGCTAGCAACGTAACTTTTTTAAGAAGTAGTTTTCTCTCCCAGCTGAAGGGGCCTGGCTGCTTGCTGCTCTCCCTGCACTGCTCACCTGGACTGTGTGTGCGGGGACCTCTGTGTAAAATGTCAATGTGTTGTTTTGATGTACGACTCTTCTCTCAAAAATGTGTGCGGCTGTGCCTTCAGCTTCTGACAGGTGGACCAGTCCCAGAGCTTTCTGAGAATCTGCTTCTGGGGTTAGAATCCTGTTTGCCTTGAATAAAATTCCCCTTTTTCTTCTTGAGAGTTTGTTGAATTTTCGTCAACAGATAACTTCCCTGCCTCCATTTCCCATCTGCACAGATAAAGTTTACAAAGAAACCCAAATCAAGAAAAAATGAAAAATGTCTGCTCAGCAAAGGTGCCTTTGAGGACAAGTCAAGCTGTGGACGGAGGCATGTCACGGTACACGTGGCTGCAAAGGCTTCATTCAGAAAATGTAGAGAACTACAGATCAGCAGCACAACACGGGCAGTGTAATGAAGATGTGGGCAAAAGGTGGGAGTGGAAAGTTTGTACACGGAGACCTGCAGATGGCCAGCGAGCGCCTGGCAAGATACTCGGCCATCAGGGAGATGACACGGCGGTGTCATTTCTCACGGACTTGATGGCCAGTGTCTAGAGTCAAACTACAGACAGCAGATGCCCTCTAGGGTGTGGAGCCTCCTCTGGAACCTCCTCTAGGGTGGGGCAGTAGGGGCTGACCACCACGGGAAACAGGTGGGCAGTGTCTTAAAAAGTTCAGCCTACGTCTTTCTTATAGACCATTCTCTTGCAAATTCCGCTTTTAGGTATTTGCCTAAGGAAAGGGAATGCGTGTGCACCAAAACAGAAAAACCCAAAACCCCCAAACAAAAACACTTGTACAAGAACATTCAACAGCCGCCTCTATAACAGCCTCAAACTGGCCTCTGACCCAGGTGCCCCCAGTGGAGAGGGAACAAGCTGTGTTGTGCCGGCAGGATGACACGAGGTACAGGCGCACACGGCAGCGTGGGTGCATCTTGAAACCGTGGTGCTGAAAGAGAGCACCCAGACACGAGAGCGCATGATTGTGGTTGCATTTATGTGAAGTCCGAGTGCAGACGAAGCTCAGCCGGGGGATGCAAGTCAGAAAGTGGAGGTGCGTAGCAGGTGGAATTGACTGGAAGTGAGGAAGGAACGTCTGGGGTGATGGATTTTCCTGTCTCGTCTATGGTTGATCGCCACATGGTTGCCCTTACCTGTCAGCACTCTTCAGAGTGAGCACTTAGGATCTGTGCGCCTGGTTATATGTAAATTGTACCTCAATACAGTTTTTAAAAAGAAAAGTTAGTTCTGCTCGGGCTGCCGTAGCAGACAACCACACGCTGGAGGACTTAAACAACAGAGGTTCATGTTCTCACACTTGTGGAGGCTGGGAGTCCAGGACCAGGTGCTGGCAGGGCTGGTTTCTGCTGAGACTGCTCCCCTTGGCTCGCAGACTGTCTTCTCTCCGTGTCCTCACGGGACCTCTTCCCTGTGCATGTTGCCCTGGTGTCTCCTCCTCTTAAAGGGACACCATCCTATTGCGTTAGGGCCCCACCCTAATGACTTCATTTAGCCTTAATTTCTTCCTTAAAGTCCCCGTCTCCACATACAGTCACCATGGGGGTTAGGACTTCAGTATATGAATTGGGGGTAATGGTGCAAAGTTCAGTCCAAAAGAGTTTTTAAAAAGAAGAATATAGTAACACCTGCCGTGCGGAGTGGCTGGAAGAAGTAAGTGGTAAAATGAGGTGCAGGTCTGAGCTGGAGCCCCACCCATGCGGGGGCTGGCCACTGTCCTCCCAGCTAGCTTTTCACTGCCGGGTTTTTTGTTTTTTTACTTGGAGCGTATGGCCATGTGGCTTTGACTACACTTTTGGGGACTGTTAACCAGTAACGTGTGTGGGCCCTAGCTTGTACTGAGATGAAGTGCCTGCGGCAGGGAGGAGAGCTTCACCGATGAGTTAGCCTCTGCGTGCACTTTGGTTCCAAAGGCTAGTTGCTAATAAAGGGCATTGTCCCCAGTCATAGACGAGAGGAAGGATGGTAGCCCAGGCGTGCTTGGTCTGGGAACTTCTGGCTCTCACGCCTGGAAACAAAAGGCAAAAGCGTTGTTAAAACCTGAGATTGTGATCTATGGAAAAATTTGGATATTTAAGAAAAAATAAAGCAGAGTTACAATTTTGTCCTGCTCCAGATGTCCATATTCAACAACCTAATTGAGGGAAAAGCTTCTCTTGCTCTGTTCACAAGGCAGAAAAACAGGATTTCAAGAGGCTGTTTCTTTTTAACCGACTTTATCAGGGTGTAGTTTACATGCAGTGCTCATTTCAAGTGTGCAGGCGATGTGTTGAAGATACAGGCATCCATGTGACTTCTGTCGCATACAAGGCATTGGACATTTCCCTTCCCCTCAGACCCAAAACACGCCCTCCTGTTCCTTTGCAGCCAGGCCCCCCCGCCTGCAGCCTCTGGCCTCTGTGGAACGGAGCCTAGTTCTGCTGTTCTGGCATCTCATACAAGTGAGATCGTAGCCTTGGCATCTGGCGTATTTTGCTGAGAGAGTGTTTTTAATATTCAACCATGATGCAGTCATTAATCAGTACAGCAATTCGTTTTTTTTTTACTAATCAATGGTTCAGTGATCAATAGCTCGTTCTTTTCTGTTGCTGAGCACTATGTCATTTTATGGATATATCAGTTTTTATTTTAATTTCTAATTAAAAAAGTGTTTGTTGGGTTATTAGCTCTGTTTGTTTGTTTTAATAGAGGTACTGGGATGGAACCCAGGACCTTGTGCATGCTAAGCATGTGCTCTACCACTGAGCTCTACCCTCACCCCTCAAGTTTTTAGCCACTCATCTGCCAAGGACATTTGAATGGCTTTCAGGTTTTGGATACTACGTATAAAGCTGGTATGGACATCATGTACAAGTCTTTTTGCAAACATGTTTTCATCTCTCTTGGTTAAATACTTTAGAATTTCTGGGTCATATTGGAAGTGTATGTCTGACTTTCCAAAAACCTGGTAAGCACTTTTCCAGGGTGATTGCGTAAGTGCACAGCTCCAGTGGTAAAGGCCAAGTTCCAGCAGCTCCACACATTCTCCAGCGTTCATGTTGTCAGAGAGGGTGTGTGATAGCAGGTGTCACATTGCAGCGTTAATGTGTTTCCCTGACGACTTGTGATGTTGAGTGTCTTGCTTGTTCCTTGACCTTCTGTGCATCTTCTTTGGTGCACTGTCTATTACAGTGTTGGCCCATGGTGGGGGGTGCGGTGGGGGAGTTGCTTGTCTTGAGTCCTGAGAGTTCTTCATCTAGTTTCGTGCAAGCCCTTTGTCAGATGTGCGTGGTGCAAATCTCTTCTTCCAGTCTGGCTTGCCTTTCTATTTTCTTAACAGTGTCTTTGGAGGAACAGAAGTTCTAAAATTTGATGGAGTCTATTTTTTATTCTTTCCCCTTTTTTGGTTGGTATTTTGGGTTTTTATAATCTTTGCCTACTGCAAAGTTGTGAAGATTTTCTTCTATAATTTTTCCTGGAAGTTTTATAGTTTTACATCAGTGATCCATTTCAGATTAATATTTATGCACAGTAAGGGCAAGGGTTGAGGATCATTTTATATTTCTACATGGATATCCAGTTTGACCAGCACCATTTATTTGTTGAAAAGAATCTCGTCTCCTTTCCCACTGAAATTTCTTAGCACCTTTTAAAAAACTCATCTCACCAAGTATGGATAGGTTTACCTCTGGGCTGTCTACTCTGCTTTATTGATCTATATGTATATTCTTAGGCAGATATTTCAATGTCTTGACATTACTGTAGCCCTATTTTCTTTTCTCAAAATTGTTTTGGCTCTTAGCAAACTGAATCCAACAATGTATAAAAAGAAACACTACAACTAGGGGAGATATATCTTAGGTATGCAAAGCTGGTTAAACATTAAAAAATCAATTTGTGTAATTCATTACTTACGTAGACTAAAAATGAGAAACCACATGATTATATCAATAGATGCAGAAAAAGCATTAGAAAAAATCTAGCATTCATTCATGGGGAAAAAAATAACCAACCCAGGAGTAGAGGAACACTTCCTTAATTTGATAGAGAATGTATACAAAAACTTTGAGTTCACATCATATTTAGTGGTGAGAAAGTGAAGCTTCCTCACTGAGAGAAGTTACAAGGCAAGGATGTCCCACTTACAAATCCTTTTCAACATCATACTAGAAGTCCTAGCTACTGCAGTAAGACCAAAAAAAAAAAGAAAAGAAAAGATACATAGATTGGGAAGAAGAAATAAAAATGTCTTTGTTCACAGATGACAAGATTGTCCATGTGGAAAACCCAAAAGAATCATCAAACATTTTGGAACTAGTAAGTAATTATAGCAAGTTGCAGGATAAAAGGTTAATATTCAAAAG